TATATGACACTGTTGCCCCGTACTGGAACCCTCCCTTCCAACCCTGGTGATGGCTGCTCCTCAGACCTCCAGGCTGGCTCTGTGGTGCTAGACTCCTCTGTTACCCTCCCCCAGAGCACGCTCAGCCTGCAGCCGCTCCCTCTGGCCCGGTACCTCCCCTCAGCCACCTGTAGACCCATATAGGACATGCCGCTCCCCAGACACCTCAGCGACCCTTTTTCTCTTCCCCGACAGACCCCCTCCCAGTTCCTTATTCCCGTCCTGGGCACCATTTCATTATGTTAGTTAATTACTGTAGTTTTGTTGCTTTTTTTTTTTTTTTTTCCCCTCTGTCACCCTCTCTAGCCCCCGGTTCCTGCCACAATTCCCCCCTCAGAGTCTTGTGTCTCTGTCCCCTCTGCACATCCCTTCCGAGGCCAGGACCTGCCTGGCCTATGCAACAACCTTGGATGGAAGCCCCACCATCCCCGCCACCACCCCTCCCCGCCACCCCCTCAGGCACTTGGCTCCAACTTCCTCAAACCCCATCTGCATCCTGCCTCACTTCTCCAAAACCACCATTCATCCCCTTGCCTCCCGTCTGGATTTCTCTGGGTGACAGGTCACATGATGCAATAGAGCTGGGACTCTGGGTTCTGTTCCCACCCTGCCACCGCTTTGCTGTGTGTTCTGGTCAGGTCGCCGGCCCTCTCTGAACACCAGGCGCCTCCTTGTGCCGACCAGGCTGGGGAGCGTATCTCCCTGCAGCGGCATCCTGAGGGTTTGGAGCTGGCGCCGCAACCCCTCTCTGTCAGCTTCGCCTGGCTGGGCTTGCAGGCCTGGCGGGGAGCCGATGCGGGGAAACCTTTCCTGGGGCCCCCGGGGCCCCTGGATGGGAGGAGTCACTTGGCCATCGGCCTCCCTGCTCTCCTGGCTTACCAGAAGGCCTGTGGGTGCAGGGGCGTGAGTCTGAACAGGGCCCTTGTGTGTGGCACTGCCCTGCAGACCGGATCAGCTGCAGCCACCCCGTTGGCCCCCCGGGCGGAGGGTGAGCGCTCCCAGTGTGCCCTCCCCGCCTCTCCTTCCCCCTGTTTCAGAGCTTCCCTAGCTAGTCCCTTCCATCTTCTCCAAGGATCCCATCATGCCCCTTGGCACCGGGATCTTCAGTTCAAAGAGGTGACCGGGGCGCTGGTCAGTGGAGGGGGAGAGATCGAAGGGCAGAGAGACCTCAAGGCAGGCGGGTTGGGCTGGAAATGGGAAGAGCGTGGATCCCGGCCGGGCCCTTCTGGCCCAGTGGGGGTTGCTGGGTGACTGGGGCCCATAGAATCCACGGGTCCTCATTCTCATTTTGCCATTTTTTTATGGATGGGGACGAAAGCCCTGCCGGCCCCCCAGGACAGGCCTGGGGGGTGAGCATTGCGGTTTCTGCTCTGCCCCCCCAACCCCGTGTGTTTCCTGAGGAAGTGAGCCAGTGGGGCCTTTCCTGTCTAAACTGTCGTGGGCTCTAGACAGCGAAGCCGGCTTCAGGATGGGGGATGTCGGATGCTCCCACTTTCCTCTGACCTTGACTCTTACTGTCTCCTGCCTCTAACCTCTTCCCAGTGGCCCTGGGTCCTGCTACAGGCCTTCCCTGTACTCTGGACTCTGTTTCTGCAGGGAATGGGGGCTGAAAAGGTTTAAGCTGAGGGCCTTGGACCTGGACTGAGGGGCAGGGAGGGGGTGTGGTGCAGAAGAACTTAAATGGTAGCCCATGCTTGTCCAAGGAGTGAGTTCCCCAGCCCCATGGGCATTCACATCCAGGCTTTCCCGCTCCTGGTCTGGGATGCTGAAGTCTGTGAAGATAGAGGATTCTGGCTTGGGCTGGACCTGTGGGGTCTGGGGTCCCTCGCATCCCTCCTTCCTCTGAAATTTCTGAGTTGCCTCACAGCCCTGAAGTGTGAGGGGAGGACCTGCAGATTCAAGCTTCTCTCCCAGGACAGGGAGACCCCGTCTTTCCTGAACCCCTGGCCCAGGTGTTGGGCAGTTGGTAACTACCAGGCGGCCCTGCTCTTCCCACACTTTCTGCCACAGGGTTTCTGAGTTGGGCTTTTACACTGGAGGGGACGGGACGTGGAGGGCCACCGTTTCCTCTGGCTGCAGAATTGGGCCCCATCCTTCCCAGCAGTGGGCTGAAGTGAGAGCCTGTTGGGAAAATGATGGGGGACAGTCCAGCCGTAACCCCAGCCCATGCCCTTGGGACCAACAGGAGAATTAGTGACCTCACTGGTGGCCCTCGTGGGAGGGGCTGGAGGTCTTTTTCTCCTCGACAGGGGCGTGGGTGATGTCTGGGGTGGTCCTTACAGAGGAAGAGACCCCCGGCGCCGGGTGTCTAAAACCTGGGATCCTGCCCTGTGTCCCATGCCGTCCCTGCTGGTCACCTCCCTCCTTGGCCCACAGTTCTTGCTCATCCTCTTGAGGCCTGCAGCCCCTGAGTTGGGGTCTGTTGCCCCTGTCAAGCCTGAGTGACAAGGACCATCCTTTCTCACCTGAGGAAATGGCCCTGGGCCTCAAGCCTCCAGACTGTCCGCCAGAAGACCTCCCTGAGGCCTGTGGTTTCGGCTGTGGGACCCAGAGCCTGGGCAGGCAGTGCGGGTGTTTGCCAACGTGGCCGCAGACGGCACGGTCTTTACCTGATGCTGTATCCCGTGACTTCTTCACCTGGTTCTTAGGACACCTCCTCCAGGGTTTTACCCCCATCCCGGAGGTGGGAAGCAGCTTCAGAGAATTGTAGTGACGTTCCCAGGGGCTGGTGCATACCCCAGCTCGGAGCCTGGCGTGGGCCCTGGCCTGGCCTGATTCTGGCCTCTGCTCTCAGCCACAGCTCCCCCAGCCCTGGCCTGCCCGCCTGGGAGGCAGTCTCTGGGCCCGAGCAGAAGCTGAGAAGTCAGTCGGGCCAGAATTGGGTCCGATTTCCCTGCTGCAGCCAAGAAGGAGTCTCCCCAGTCGGCCTGGAGGAGTCTCCCCAGGGCCTCGCAGCCCTTGATCCTGAAGCAGATGCACTGATTTCCACACTCACACCCCCACATACTGGCCGGAAGCGGGGCGCTTCGGGCCTGGACCCAAGCCCTGGCTGCCCATCCGGCACTGCCACCCAGCGAGCAGCCGTGTGGGCGGGCCTGGGCAAGTTCTGCCCTCCTCTGAGACCCCCGTCCCTCATCTGTAGGACAGAGACAGTCCCACGAATGCTGTTGAGAGCCATAAATGAGAGGACATGCAGAGAGCAGCCCAGGTGGTATCTGGCCAGTGTGAGGCCCCTGGGTGCAGACCCCAGCCCAGGGCTGCCGTGGCACTGCCACAGCCTCTGCTCACACCTCAGGGACGCCTTGCCAACGACCCCCACCCCCAAAGGTATTAGGAAGGATCCCTGTCTGGCATAATCACTGCTGATGGAGTGACAGATGTGTTTTCCCACTTCGTCTGTCAGAGCCCTGGGTCCCTGCCAGGCAGGACCCAGCCAAGGACCCATGAGGCCCACTCGGGGCCAATTCCAAAGCAGAGGGCAGGCTGGGCTGGGCGCAGGGACAGGGCCATGGGAAGGGTTGGGAATGGGCTCATTGCTGGGCTTCCCCGGGGTACCCAGTCCCTTTGTGTTACCTGGCGGGGGTTGGGGGGGAACCGAAGCTCAGAGGCTGCTTGGTGACCGTCTCAGGGTCCAGATGACAAGGGAGGAGGGACTGATCCCCAGTCTTGCCTTTCACACTTTCCCCTCAGTAAGCCTGAGTCCCGGGACCCCTTGGCCTTGTCTTTCCTCCCTCCTGTGTGGGCCCCTTGGAGCCCCCTCCCCTCCACTTCCCCACCGTTATCAGTGGCCAGGCCCAGCCCGTCACCCTCAGCCCAGCCACCGCGGCTCCGAAGCTGCTGGCTCAGGAGCACCAGCTTTTGCTGAGTGAGCGAGTCCAGAGGTGCTGTCTTGGCACAAACCACTGCTGGCCGCCGAGCCTTCTCCCTTCCTGCCTCCCTCCCTCCGCAGGGTCTCTTGCAAAGTGGGGGGGTGTGGATGGACAGTGCTGGGTGGGGCAAGGTGGGGAACGGAGTTGGCTGCTGGCCGCGGCACTACCTCTAGGGTCTTCAGCTTCAGGGAGAGAAGGGTCCTGAGGCCCACAGAGGGCTGTTTGCCTGAGGTCACAGGGCAGACCAGCGGAGAGCCGGGACTGCTCCCCACAAGGCTCAGGGAGCAGGAAGACAGTCTGCCCTACCTGGGCTGTTTGGCAGAATCTTCCTGCCTCAGCTCTGTGGGGCCCTGGCTGGGTCCTCCCTCTCCTGCCCACCCTAAGTGGGTTTTAATTTGCATAACAGTTGCATTAACAGTAGCCTAGAAGGCAGTTCCCATTTAAGCACTTCCTGTGTGCAAAGGTTTTTGCTGTTTTGTTTTTTTTAAAGATTTTATTTATTTATTTGAGAGAGAGAGAATGAGAGATAGAGAGCACGAGCAAGCGGGAAGAGGGTCAGAGGGAGAAGCAGACTCCCTGCTGAGCAGGGAGCCCCATGCGGGGCTTGATCCCAGGACCCCAGGATCATGATCTGAGTCGAAGGCAGGTGCTCAACCCTCTGAGCCACCCAGGTGCCCCCTGTGTGCCAAGGTTTTATGTACGTCAGATCCATTCGGTGACCCTAGAGGTAGGGCCAAGGGGATGTCCCCGCTTTGTAGAAAGGGAGACTCAGATTCTCAGCACTGACGTGTTTACAGTCACCTGCTGGACAAGCCCAAACTGAGCACCTACTGTGTGCCAAGCCCAGCCCTAGGCCCTGGGCTGGAGAGGGTGGCTGACAAAGATGAATGCGTCCTGTCCTGGCCCCCAGGAGACCCCGTGTTTGGTCCTTCTGCCCTTGGGACAACCCAGTGATAGCCTCACGGGTAGTGTCCCTGTCTTGCAGATGGGCCCCGACCAGGCCCAGAGTGGCAGACATGTGGCCCAGGGTGGGTCCCTCAGCTCAGATCTGGGTCTCAGGACCCCACCCTGGATTTGCTGTTTGCCCTGCAGCCAGCCCCACCCAGACGAGGGCCACCCGCCGCCCCTCGAAGCTGTCCCGGTCCCCTGGAAGAGTGTGGGCCCCAGCAAAAGCCACAGGGAGTCGCCAAGAGGCCTGGCGGAGACCCCTGGAGGGGAGGAGGGCCCTGCAGCCGCCCAACTGGACGTGTTGCGCCTGCGAAGCTCTTCCATGGAGATCCGGGAGAAGGGCTCGGAGTTCCTGAAGGAGGAGCTGCACAAAGCCCAGAAGGTGGGGCTCGGAGGGCGGCGGGTTGGGGGCGGACAGCAGGGATAAGGGACCCACCTGGGGGCGCTGTGGGCTCCCCCCCCAGCACCCGCACGGAGGCCGGGGCTGGGCGCAAGGGAAGCATGGAGGGGAAACCAGTTCTTGTGACTCTGGAAGGATTTTTAGAAGTCTTGACTTCTCTGAACGCCCCTTCTAAGCTCTAATAGGCTGACAGTTGGGGTTTCGACATCATGCTACACGCTAAGTGGGAAATGCATCCTAAGCCGTAGGGCGACGGAGGAAGGGAGGTGGGGGCTCAGAGGCCCGCGGAAGAGGGCCCCAGCAGTGGAGCCCCATCAGTGGGCCCGGTGCCCCCGCCCCGGCCCCCGTGCCAGGCCTGGGGCCCCGTGGGGCTGACAGCGCCCCCCCCCCCCCCCCGTGGAACCCTCCAGGAGCTGAAGCTGAAGGACGAGGAGTGTGAGCGGCTGTCCAAGGTGCGGGAGCAGCTAGAACGGGAGCTAGAGGAGCTGACGGCCAGCCTGTTCGAGGTACCAGGGCCGGCCAGCTGGGGGACCGGCTGGGCAGTGGGTCCGCTGGGGTTCGCGCTGGCTCCTCACCGCTCATGCAGAGCCTGCCTTCTCCCCAGGAAGCCCACAAGATGGTGCGGGAAGCCAACATGAAGCAGGCAGCGTCGGAAAAACAGCTGAAGGAGGCGCGGGGCAAGGTGAGGCCCGGCCAGCTCCCAGACAGGTGCATCCAACAGAGCCCGGGTGTACAGTGTGACGCCAGGCAGGCCATGGGTCCGCTCTGAGCCTCAGTTTCCCCATCTGTAACATGGGTGTCTCAGTCCCCACCTCAAAGGCTGTTCCAGGGGTAGCAGGGGGGGTTAGGTGCCAGTCACCACCGGGACGGGCTGTCCTGAGCTGGGGTGGCCGGCGGTTGACAGCCACGGCAACGTTAGCCTTGGACTGAGGTTGATGGCCACCTCATCCCGGCCAGATCGACATGCTGCAGGCAGAGGTGAGCGCCTTGAAGACACTGGTCCTCACATCCACACCAGCCTCTCCCAACCGTGAGCTCCACCCACAGCTGCTGAGCCCCACCAAGGCCGGACCCCGCAAGGGCCACTTGCGTCATAAGAGCACCAGCAGCACCCTCTGCCCCGCGGTGTGCCCCGCGGCTGGACATACCCTCACCCCGGACAAGGAGGGCAAAGAGGTGAGGGGTGGCGGGTAGGCAGTGGGCACGGGAAAGGGAGACGATGTCCAGCATCGTCCAGGCAGTGGGGCCCAGTGGGGAGGCCTAACACCTCGCAGTGTGACCTGGAGCCTGGCCTGCCATCCCCGGGCCTCTGTATCTGTCTGGGAGGGCTGGGCAGCCTTTTTGTGATAATGAGCTTTGGCCCTCAGCCTCTGCGTGTACCCTGTGTACACCTCATGGGTCCCGTGAGGGCCTGTTCGCCCCTCCGTGCCCCTCCAAGCAGTAGGTGGTGTTCTGGCACCTGAGGCTGGCCTGGGGCCTGAGGGCCTGGCCTGGGTGGGGGGCATGGGGGAGCTCTTCGGGAAGACACCTTCCCTGGGCCTAAGGAGGCTACTACCGGGCCTCTGGGGACAGGCTGCTTGGGCCCTGCATGCCCGCAGCCCTGAGGTCCAGGACCAGCTCGTGACATCCCTGGATTCGAGGGTCCTCAGCGCCTTCTGCCTTGGTACGTAGACACGCAGAGCCTTTGGGGGCTGTCTCCCTCCCCCCCACCTTGGGTATATAGGGTATTTGGTCCAGGCTGGGCAGCGGGCTGTGATGTCCTTGACCGTGGGTCCTTGGGCAAGAGAGGGCGCCTGCCAGAGCCTCAGCTTCCTCATACAAGAAGGGCCCCCCCACTGCCCATGGGGACTGATAAGACCTGGGTGTCAGAAGTTCAGCTCAGGGCTGCACCCAGCGAGCCCTACAAGGGCTACATGGGACTCGGGGTCCTGTGGTCTCTGAGCCCCCAGCTCCGTCCCGCCCTGTGTCTCTGGGGCTTCCAGAGAGGGGACGCAGGCCAGGCCTCACCCCCTACTTCCGAGTTCTCAGCTTCTGACCGAATACTAACATCTCCTTCCTCCTGTCTCTGTGCACCTGTCATCTGTCTGTCTGCCCCGCCCCACCCCCCAGCCTGGGCTGCCCCCCCTCCTCTCCCTGCTCCTCTGCGTGGTCCCCAGCAAAGCTGTTCACCTCACCTACGAGCCGGCCTGGCAGCTCCTGTCTGGGGAGCCGCTCACGGCCCCCACCTCCGCTACCTCTTTCTCCTTTTCCCGACAGGTAATGGTTGGGGAGAGGGGCCGCCCCTCTGCCCCCGCCCAGCCTCACTCACACTGCATGTGCCCCAGGGCGGCCAGCCAGTCGTCTCTCCCGAGTAGGCAGCCCCGTGTGTGTTCCATCTGTGTGCATGTCTGTGTGTGTGGTGGTGGTGGGGGGGTGGGTACCTGCAGGGCCCATCTTCAGCTTTTCTTCCTCCAGGAGGCAGAGAGGGGCTTCAGGACGAGACCCTGGACCCAAGTCTGCAACCTTGTAGAGCCGGGAAGCTAAAAGCACACCTGGCTATGAAAGTTTGAGTTCTGAGGCCCTTGGTAGAAAGAGAAGGAGGCAGTTCTTCCTTGGAGCTCTGTCCCCTGCTCGGCCACTGGGGACAGACCCGCTGGCAGGCTTGGGCCTGCCCCACAACCTCCCTGGCTCCCCACCATCTTCAGCTCCCCCCACTGCCGCCCCTGGCGCCTTGACCACTCCATCCAGCTCACCCTCCCCTACAGGTGGATACAACTCTGTTCGCAGAGTTCCAGGCCTGGCGAGAATCGCCCACCCTGGACAAGACCTGCCCCTTCCTCGAAAGGGTGTACCGGGAGGACGTGGGCCCCTGTCTGGACTTCACCATGCAGGAGGTGAGGCGGGGCAGAGGGCGGCCGGCCCCGGGGCATAGCCCCTCAGCCGGAGGCCAGCCCCTCACTGCCCCGGCCTGCCGCCCTGCTTTGTCGCAGCTCTCAGCACTGGTCCGGGCCGCGGTGGAGGACAACACGCTCACCATTGAGCCGGTGGCTTCGCAGTCGTTGCCCACTGTGAAGGTGGCCACAGTTGAGTGTGGCAGCACCAAGTAAGCTTAGCGCCCTTCATCCTTTGCTGCCCGCTTGGGAAAGCCACCCCTAGCCCTGCGCTCTTGCCCAGGCAGTAGCCAGGGACCCGGGACCCAAGCAGGGGGGCGGGAGTGGGGCACACAGGCCTGGCTGGGGAGGGGTGCAGAGGCGCAGTGGCTGACATCAGGCAGGGCAAGGAGGCATCTTTGGCACAAATTCCTGCCTCTAGTCATAGGTCCCCAGGCCCTACCAGGAGTCTGGGAGCTGGAGTCTCCCTCGTCCTGGCTGGCCTGCCGGGTAGCCCTTCTCCCACCCCCCATCCTCTCCCACAGTGGGTTCTGGACCCCGACTGACACGTAAGTGATGTCAGCTGTTGGCTGTCCTTGTGCTAATAAATGACCAGTCAGCCCTGGCATCTTGTCCCTGCGACTCAGCTGCCATCGAGCAGGGCTCGCAGCACAACCAGATAGCCAGGGTGGAACAAGGGGCAGAGGTGGGGAGCACTTTCCCTCGGCAGCCCAGGATTTGACCTGCCAGGGAAGCCCCACAGGGGGAGCCTTGGCACAGAGGGGCACATTTGAGCTAGGTTTTGAAGGATGAATAGCGGTTTGCCTAGTAGGGAAGGGCCTTTCAGGCAGAGGGAACAAAATGAGTGAAGGTATGAGAAGCCGGGGTATTAATGGAAACATCACTGGGTTTGTGGGCAGAGCGGTGGGGTGGTTAGGGAGATAGGGCCGAGGCCACAGAGGATGTTTGGGGCCAGAGTGTAAAGGGTCTTGAATGAGGTTTGGGCTTTGACCCACGAGGCCAAATCATCAAGAGATGTTTCCTAAAAAGAGGGTTGCCAAGTCCAATCAGAGTCACAGTGAATCTGGAGGCAGCAAAGGCACTGATAAGTCCTGCAACCCAGGAGCCTACTTAACCTTCCTCTGCTCCGGAGTCTCCATAATGGCTTCCTGGGCAGTAGGAAAGCAGCAGGGAAAGATGATGGACTACATGTGGGCTTTTGGAGGAGCCCCTGGCTCCTCCATGTGGCGAAGGGGAGACATGAGGCAGAGGGCTAGTTGGAAGAGCTAAGGGGATTCAAGCAAGAGGCCCTGCTGGCATGACCTAGCCTGAGGACTCGGTGACCAAGTGGAGGAGGGAGTGGACTCCTGTGTAGTTGGGGAAGGCGTGACTGAGCCTGAGAGCCCCGGTAAAGTAGGGGGTACGTTTTTAGGGCCTGCAGAGAGGGGAGCTTTGGTAAGATACCTGGCATGAGGTGCACTGGGCTCTCCTGCCCACTAGGGGCAAGGTGAGGGGTGTAGGGGTGAGATCCAGCTTAGGTCAAAGGTCTGTCCCAGGGACTGGGACCTCTCCTTGGCCTGGCCCCCGGCTCCTGGGGAAGGTGGTTGAGGGAGAGGGTGCCAGGCCCCACCCCCAAGTCCGCTTGCCTCTCCCTCCCTTGGTGTATTCTTCTGCCTGCTGCATCCTCCCTGCATGAGCTGGGTGGGCGAGCCCCCGCCAGCCCCCACGGCCCCCTCTGCCTTCCTCTAGTACCTGTGCCCTGAGCGGGCTGGCTCGTGCCTGTCACCACCGAATCCGGCTTGGGGACTCTGAGAGCCACTACTACATCTCGCCGTCCTCCCGGGCCAGGGTGAGTCATCCAGTGGGAGGGTCACTGGGCTTCTTAGGGGCCCCCTGGGCTGGGACCCTAGGCCAGCCTAGGAGCTCAACCTTGATCTGCAGAACAGGGCACAGGCTCAGAGAGGTACGGAGACTGACTCAGGCCACACAGCCAAGTCTGGTGAATTAGTTTGTCATTCCTGCAGAACCAATTACCATAAACTTAGTGGCTTAAAACAAGCCCCATTTATTCTCATGCTCTCCCTGGGGCAGGAGTGGGCACAGCTTAGCTGGATCTTCTGCTCAGGGGCTCAGGAGCTGCAGTCAAGGAGTAGGCTGACCGCCTGCTTTCTGGAGATAGTGGTCCTCTTCTGAGCTCACCTGGCTGTTGGCAGGACTCAGTCCCTCCGGGCGGGGGAGGGGGATGGTGGGGGCGTGAAGGACTGAGGCTCTACCTGTTTGCTTGCCGAAACCTAATCATGGGAGTGACATTAGAATTCAGGTTAAAGGGGCGCCTGGGTGGCTCAGTTGGTTAAGCGACTGCCTTCGGCTCAGGTCATGATCCTGGAGTCCCGGGATCGAGTCCCACATCGGGCTCCCTGCTCAGCAGCGAGTCTGCTTCTCCTTCTGACCTTCTTCCCTCTCGTGCTCTCTCTCTACCTCATTCTCTCTCTCAAATAAATAAATAAAATTAAAAAAAAAAAAAAGTCCTTTAAAAAAAAAAAAGAATTCAGGTTAAAATTCCAGGCTCCTGCCTCCCAGCTCAGGCTCTGGCCCCGGGCTTTTGAGAAGGTTCTGAGGCCTGACGGTAGTGGTGGATGCCACGAGGCCTCCGGGAATCCCAGCTTCCATCCTCAGCTGCCGAGTGGCCCAGGCTGGGTCAGTGGACCTCCCCAAGTTGGGGGATAAGGGCGGGGTGGCCCCGTTCCTCGGTCCCCTCACAGACTGTGCATAGGATTGTAAGGAACCAAAGAAAATGCGTTAGAGGATTCTGAAGCTTGGTGCACACTGCTAATTGGGCCCTTTTGTAGGAGCCATCTCCTGCCCTTGACCTACTAGAGGCTGCTCATAGAGACTAAGGTGGACAGATGGCCCCGCTGCTAGGCAGCTTGTCTGGTCCCGACAAGCTTCCACAGGGTGTCCAGTGTATTGTCCCGAAACATTCCACAGCAGCGAGCTGAGCTCCATTTGCAGATGGAGAGTCTGTGCCTTAGAAAGGGGGGGGTGTGTGACCTGGACCTGGGGCCTCCCCATCCTGAGCCCAGTCCGCCTTCCCTGCAGCCTCTGCCCCGTGCCTCTGTGCCCAGAGCCCTCTCCAGGGGCCTTTGTCCGATCCCCACCAGGGCTCAACAGAAGGAGCCTCACCAGACATTCTGTGCCCAGCAAAACCATATCGATAGATATAAAAACGAAAAAACACTGTAGAACTTTGTTTCTTCCAAAGGCCTGCATGTCCCCGCGTTGGGCAGAGCTGGGATGGGAGACGAGAATGGTGTGAAGGTTTGGGAGGTGGTCCCCACCCTGAAGAGACCAAGGAATGTGGCATCCGTAGGGAGAAGAGGTTTCCGTCCCCAAAGGACAGCCCTGGGGAGAGAACCCCACTGCTCCCTGCCTCTCCTTGCTCGCCAGCCTCCCATGGGGGCCCACTGGCCACCTCACCACAGTCCCTCCTGAGCCGCACCAGCTTAGTCCCCTCTGGGGCACCCCTGTCTCACGCTTGCCCGGGCCACCACCCCCCTGCACCCACTTTGTCCTCCTGGCTGGCAAGGATTTCTATGTGTTTGAGCCGCCCCCCCCGGAACTCTGGACCCTGTGGGCCCCCACACACTTAGCGTCCCTCCCCCCGGGGCGCTGGACATTGAGTAGGTGCTTTTGGGGCACGGCTGCCGGCCACCTTCTGCCCTGTCTCTGGCCGGGTTCCCTAAAAGCGGAGCCTCAGATGAGGATTTTATGCCATTCTTAGGAGGACTGAGGAAAGCAGACGGGGGGGTGTAGCCTCAGCTGGAATCTGGCTGCAACCTGATCCATGGGGGCTCTGGAGCCCAGGGTGGGTTCCACCCAGAGGCCAGGGGCTGGCCTTTTTTACACCGCCTGCCAGCCAGCCCCCAGCCATACCCCCCTGGCTGTGGTATGCCGGGCTAGGGGGTACAGGGGGCACCCATGAGCCCTTAGTGGCCAACACTCTCAGCCATGGGGAGAGGGGCCCCAGCCTGGGGAAGGGGCCTGGGCAGGGTGCCAGCAGCACCCTCTTCTGCAGTAGGAGAGTCTTCGTAGAAGGGCCCACGTCTGAGCCAACTTGGGGTCCGCGGTGCCCAGCGTAGGGCATGGAGCAGGCCTCAGGCCAGGCTGAGGGCTTCAGGCCCGGGGATCCAGGGCAGCCCCAGTGAGCAGCTTCTGATCCCCCTGCCTATCCTGGCATTACCAAGAGCACTGGGCCAAGGCCTGGTTGGCCAGGGCCTCCAGCATGCAGAGCAGGCAGGCCCCTCAGGATGAGCGTGGATTCAAGGGCAGGCCGCCTGGTTTCACCTTCCAGTTCAGCCACTTACTGTCTCTGTGGGCTCGGTAATTGTTGTCTGGTAGCTTTGTTCTTGGAGTCTCTGTTTTCCCCATGTGTAAAATGGGAATAATAAGCATGTCTGCCTCACTGGATGCATGTGCTGGATCAAATGTTAGTTGCTGCTGCTGTTTTTATTGGGAGTAGTACTAATACTACCGTTGGTAATTAAATTTTATTTTATTTATATATATATTTTAAAGATTTTATTAGAGAATGAGGGGGAGAGAGAGAGAGGGCAGGAGTAGGAGGAAGGGGCAGAGGCAGAGGGAGAAGCAGACTCTCCCGTTGAGCGGGGAGCCCGACTCGGGGCTCGATCCCAGGACCCTGAGATCATGGCCCGAGCCGAAGGCAGACGCTTAACCGACTGAGCCACCCAGACGCCCGGGGAATTAAATTTTAGAGCCCAGCCCTGTTCAATTGAGGGAGCATTGTCTGGCTCTGATGGGACATGGGGTTTCCCACTCTGGTCTCTGATCTGCCCTGGCTTTTGGGGAGACCCCAAGTGTGAGGGCTGGCTTGTCACAGCCTCCCCGCTTCTGCCCCCAGATCACCGCAGTGTGCAACTTCTTCACGTACATCCGCTACATCCAGCAAGGCCTGGTGCGGCAGGAAGGTGAGCGCCCCCTGGTGGCCGGCGGGGCTGGCCCGTGGGAGGGAGCGGGCGGGTCCGCAGCAGCGGAGGGGTCAACCTATGCGCTTTGTTACCTGAACAGAGGGGAAGACTCTGCCAGGCTCTGCCAGGTCCCGCTGCCTTCTCCCAGCCAGAAACTTCTCCCAGGCCCCGGGGCTTGTGGGGACTGCTCCCTGTTACCGGCCTGGCATTGGAAGCCCTGCACGATGGGGTGTCCCTTGTGGATCTCTTCCCCACTCGGGGTGGCCTCCTCATGGTCATTTGACACCAGCTGCCGCCTCCCACTTTACCCTTGCCCGCCTAGCGGGTCCTCCATCCACCTGTTGTCCCCTCTACCCCTGTTCTGCAAGGCCTAGCATCCCGCTCCACCAAGCTTGTCAGTTCGAAGTCTGAGCCTCTCCTCCCCAGCTTGGGCATCAAGCTTTGGCCTTGGAGGGGAACTTGGACTGACCCCGTGGCTCTGCTGACGGCTCAGGGTCTCTGAGACCCCAGGGAGATGGGGTTGGGAAGCATTTGTGGCCCGCCAAAGGCGTGGCAGTGCGCTCATGCATGTCGGTGCTGGGCTGTGGGGGCGATGCATGGTGGTGCAGAGTTTGTTCAGCACTCAACAGTTTGCAAGGCCTCAGTGTGGAGCCTCAGAGAGGTCAGGCCACTCACTGAGGTCATCTGTGCTGGGGGGCTGGGGGAGCCCTAGGTGCCTACCAGCTGCCTTGCCCAAAGCCAGGGGAGAGGGGCCTGGCCATCTGCCTGAGGTGACCCTGTCCCTGAGCTGTCCACCTTCGTTCCGCCTGCAGCGGAGCCGATGTTTTGGGAGATCACGAGGCTGCGGAAGGAGATGTCGCTGGCGAAGCTCGGCTTCTTCCCCCAGGAGGCCTAGGGCATGGCCCGGGCCTAGAGGGGGGCTCTCAGCAGCAGCTGACCCCTGCCCCAGCACAGACAGACAGGAAGACAGGGTCCTGGAGCCGGCCCTGAGCCAGAAGCTGAGCAGATGGACAGATGGCCAGGCTGCGGACGCCTTGCTGAGCTGGTACCAAACCTTTGTCCCAGGACGGACAGGACCTCATGAGCCGACGCTTCTCCCTTCATCAGTGGCACACAGCCACCAGCGGACTTTCAAGAAAGCGCCAAAGACCAAGGAGCTTGGACCCATACTCAGGGGCTCAGCCCTTAGGAGGGGGTACCTGGGGCAGCACCCCCTTTACGGGCCTGGGAGCTGCTGCTTGCAGGTGCCTTGTTGCTGCCATGTCCTCAGAAAGGGGCCGTGCTGGGTGGCCTGACCTCCAGGGTATCCCCCCCCCAACCTCTGGTCCCAAGTCCTGGGCCACCAGCACCCCCTGGTGGCCATCCCTCATCCATTCCCAGGTGGCCTCCCTGTCAGACTGCCCCCAGCTGCCACCCCCCCCCCTTCTCCAGTGTCCGCGGGGCGGTGGGGCCACAAGGGGCTGTCAAGGACTTGCACACCAACCTGGATCTGCTTGAGAACTGCCCCCAAACTGTTCTTAAGATGGATCAGGGCCCCTCCTCCTTGCACTTGACCTTCCCCCTCCCGCATCTGAGCTCTGTGCTCAGGGGGGCCTTGCCCCCACCACCGCTGGAAGGATTAGGATACTTTTCTCCCAAAGTAAAACACAGACAGGGCCTCAGGACACCCGTGTCTGTGTTCAGCTGTGGGTGGCCTTTCAGACAATGGGGGCTGAGGCCGCCAAGCCCTGCACGCAGGACTGGGGTAGGATGGGCAGGCCCCAGGCCCCTCCTCACCCCTCACAGCCCACTTGGGACTGGGGTCCAACCTGAACACATCCCTCACCACAGCTGATTTCCTCCTTTGAATGGAATGTAACACGATCTCTATTTAATAAAGGAAGGCTTTGTTGGTAGAGGCTGGGTGCCACGTGCCTTCACTCCTGCGCCCTGGGGTTCGGGCCAAGGCTTGGGCATCTGAAGGAATGAAACCAAATCCTTCCCTAGCCCGCCCTCGTGCTTGGGATTAGGCCCAAATCCTGAAGGGATTGCTGTGGGGAGTACCACTCAAGGCCTCTCCAGCGGTCCGTGGGGCTGTGGGTTATCAGGGCCGAGCCCGGCTTTCTGCCGAGGGGCCTGCTGTGGGGAGAGCAGCGGTGCTGAGGCTGTCCCTCGCGCTGTCTCGTTGGGGCAGATCACCCTCTGGTCTCCCTGTGTCTGTCTAACGGGAGGTTAGAGTTCGAGGCTGCCTGGCGAGAGCTGGACAGTGGCGGGATCGATTGGTGATGTCTGCCAGCAGCGCAGGCAGGGATAAGGCCGCTAGGTTCTTAGCAAGGTGTGGACCTGGGGAGCTTTCTTGTGATTCCAGATCCCCTGCCCACCTGTAGGGGTGTGGGTCCAGGCCCGTGGGGCTCCCGGGGGGAGGGGGGGAGCATAGCAGCTTCTGGTCAGTGTGTACTGGGGCTGGTGAGGGGGTCCCTACTGGCCCGAGGCCTCAGGCCGGCTGTGGGCCAGCCAGGACTCTGTCAAGGCCACCCAACCCTATCACCCTCTCTAGCCAGGAGCCTTTTCGCTCTTGGTCTCCTGCCTTGCAGATTCCCCCTTCCTTCCCCCCACTTCCTCACGGGCTGATCCCAACATCCTCTCCTGCATACCCGCCTCTTTCTGCCTTCCCCTCGGTCAGTCCTGGGTCAGCTGGGGGAGAAAGAGAAAGAACGTCTGGGCCCTGAAGCTTCTGTGCCCCTGGACGAGCCACCCCCAGGGCCAAGGAGACACCAGGCCACGTTTCAGAGCCCTGGCAGAGGGTCCCACAGCCCAGACTCGCTCGGCCCGCCCCCAGCACAGGACTTCCTGTCAGGCCAAGGCGGGGCTGTGGTGGGCAAACAACAGTGGGTGGGGTGCTTGTGAGGGACCCAGGGACACACAATCTGGCCTCAGGACCTCCCAACAGTAGCTTAGTATCTGAGCACTAACATCAGCCCCAGGGCTGGCTCCACGCCCTTTAAACGAACCGGTGCACTTAACCCTCAGAGAAATCCCCATGAGGTACTACTGTTTCCCCATTTTGCAGATAAATCCCCTGAGGTACTGAGAGGACACATAGTCGAGGGTGACCCCAGGACAGGGATGCCTGAGCCCAGCTCCAGAGCCAGCACCCAGGACTCCTTGCATTAGACACCTGCCTTGTGCCTGACGCTGGATGAGGCCCTTCTTTGTTTTTCAGAGATGTAGAAACTGAGTCTCAGGCAGAGGCAGAGCTGCATTTTCATTAGGCTTGTTTCCCACATTTTTACCGGGTTACAGCTGCTCCCCCACCCCTGCTCTTCAGGCTTCTGGGGGTGACTGGGGGCCCTATGGAGGGAGGGGCTTAGGGCTTTGGCTCTTGGAGTTGGGAGAGGTTTAACTGACATCAGCCGGACAGGAGTTGTTCCTCTTAAGTGAATTTTCTAGACAACTCTCTAAGTGCTCCCGGCATCTGTGGTCACCTCTTAAAAGCTAGCTCCAACGGTGGCCACGAGCCTGAGCCCGCGCGAGCGGGCCTTCCACATTGCTCTGCTGTGTCACGTTTTACCATCCACAAAGCCTGCCCCGACTGGATGCTGCCGGGACTGTGTACCTGGGCCACGGGGCTCTTGTCTGGGCCTCAGTTTGCTCCTCCATGGGTTGGGAAGATTGGACCACGTGACCTTTGCAGCCCCTCCCCCCCTTTTTCATTTCACTGGGGTAAAAAGCACAGTTTACCATCTTAACTTCCTGTCATCGTCTGTACGTGCCACACTTTCTTTGCCCTTCCATCCCTTGATGGACATGTGGGTTGCTCCCACCTACAAGCTAATGTGAATGATGCTGCCAGGGATGCGGGAGAGCCGTGATTTCTTCGAGGCCTTGCTTTCAGTTCCTTTGGATATTTACCGAGAGGCGGGTTGGCTCAGTGATATGCCCCCGTTCTGTCCTCAGTTTTCTGAGGAACCTCCAGACCGTCTTCCGCAGAAGTCGTACCAATTTATGATCCTGCCAACAGCGCACAGGGGTTCCGGTTTCTCCACATCCTTGCCAACCCGTGTCACGTTGGTGTTTTTTTGATAATTGCCTGTGAGGTGATAGCTCACTGTGGTTTTGATGTGCATTTCTTCGGTGCTTAATGCCCTCGACCTCATCTTTTCATATGCTTGTTGGCCTTGGACATCCTGAGGAGCCCTACTGCGCACCAGAGCGATGCCTCCGGGGTGAGACTTTCGTGGCTGGTCGGACAGCTCTTCTGTCATTCTGTGGCCCCCGGCCCCCCTCACATCGCAACGAGTTGTGTCCAGGGCCTAATAACCAAACCCACAGTGTGGCGAGCTTTAGCTCAAAGCCAAGTGGCAAAGCTCTGACTTGAGTCCACTTTGTGCGTCTGCTGAGAACACACAGTGCCTGGGCTTTAGGACTGCTCTTTCTGGTAGGTCCAGAGCTTCCCCACGTCCCCCCAACTGGGCCACCGCCACACCTCTGCCGCTTGCCCCAGCCCCCGCTGGTCTGCACAAGTATCACTCAGCTCCCTGACCGTGGCTACTGGTTCCATGGGGGCTGGAGACTTGAGTGTGTCCCACGAGAGACGTGTCAGCTCACGGCCAGGAGAAGCTCTGGGCCAGGGGCCAGCCACGGGTTGGAGGGGCTCAACCTCAAGCAGGCACCCTCCCCCCAAAATGCTCCAGCTGGCCAGACCCTCCCGTGCCTTTTGGCTAGTTCTCCCCTCCCCCTGCCTAAGCCCCATTCCTGGCGGTGGCCCAATGGCAGCTCAGGAATGTCAAGTGGAGCCTCTCCCTGACAGGGAGGTGCGGGGAGGGGGATAATAGAGTCTCAAGTTCTCCCGGAGCCCGTGATTTTAGGAGAGTTGCAAGGTCCACTGGGTTGAAGCCTGGAGGGGTAAAGCCACCTACGGAAGGCCCCGAGGCCTGCAGAGAAATCGTGTGGGCAGCTGTTGGTTCCACTCTGAGAAAGAGACACACAGTTCAGGACTTAACAGGAACACGATGACAGGCGTCAGGAGACCTTGACCACCACTCTCTCCTTGCCAGGATCAAGTGGCTGGAGGGGCGGCACCGCCCAGAGCCCTGTCCTTGCTTTATGGCCTGGGGGAACCCTGTGCAGGCCTTCATTTTCCTCATCTGTCTGGGAGCAGCTGGGGCAAGTGGAGGCTCTGACCCACTCCAGTCCCCCAGCGGCCTTGCGTGTGGCTGAGACCAGGTCGGGGCCCAGGGAAGGCCGCAGGGGTCAGCATCTGAACCCTGAGGGCTGCTTGAAGCTGGGGTGGAGGCCACGCCCCTTGTGGAGGGGCTGGAGATTGGGGCAGGAGGTTCAGTTCCTGTAAGAGCCTGCCCCCTCTCCTTGAGCTCACCTGCAAACATGGTGGCAGCAGGGGTATCTGCAGTCACCGCCCACCTCAGCCGCCAGCCACACACACCTCTGCTGCCCCCCACCCCCCCAACACACACGCTCAGGCTGGGGGTTCAAGGACACCTCAGTGCTCAGGCAGCCCAGGGCCATGGTGCGGCAAGGCCTTAACGGTTGTCTTGGCAACCAAATAGAGGTCTCTTGGTACCAAGGAGAACCCAGAAGCCCCTTCAGCCCTTCCTGGCGCCCTGGCCCTCCTGCCCCACAAATACTAGCTTTAGTGATTTCCTACAAATTGTTAAACCAAGATAAAAGGTTAGCATATCGGAGAAATATACTTCGTGTTCTCCAAGTGCATTCCCTGAACCAGCGCAGCAGCATCACCCCCCTGCGAACCTGTTCCAAATGCAATACTCCGCCCCCAAACCACCGCTGCTGAATCCCACCCGGGTGGGGAGCGCAGCGGTCCTGCCTTAACAGGCTCTCCGGGGATCCTGCTGTGCTCGAGTTTCATACCCCCGCTGGCCCGCAGCATAACCTTGGCCTGATTGCATTTCATGTCGAGTGTGAACGCCTCGCTTCTAGGAACAGGTGTCTATCTCAAAAACACACAAAAAGTAGTTTGGGGAGTACCTTACACTCTCAAAAGGGATGAATTTATTTAAGTAAAAATGGGGAGGTGCTGTAACAGGCAGAGCAGCCAGTGAATGACAGCGCCCCGCTACCGATGCCGGTGCTCCTGAACCCCTTCCACATCCCCACCCTGCAGCCCCAGCGGCAGGAAGACCACGCCCCCCCCCCCCCACCTCCTCCCCGCAGACCGCCCCGCGCCGGGCCGGTTGGCGCGGCCGGTCGCTCAGCCCCGACGGCGGCCTCGCTGCGCAGACGCTCGGGGCCGATTGTTTGAAAGCTGTTTACAGTCACCCCGAGGCAGCGTTCCCACCTCCGTGCGCTCAAGACTGAACGTTCCTGGACGCGTGGCTGGAAGCCCCGTGTGCGCAGACTGTGGTTCCAAGCCCCGCTGGCGCAGACCTGGGCCCCGAGGGCAAGGCCGCACCGGTCAAGGGTGTAAAGTCCCCGTCCCTCCCCCGTACCCCCCACCCCGCCCGCCGGGCGCCGCGAGCCGGGAGCCGGGAGCCGGGAGCCGGGAGCCGGCAGCGCCCGGCTTGGTGGCCGCGGCCCCCGCGGGCGGGGTGGGCCCGCCCGGACACCGCCCTCGCCGGCCCGAGCGCGGCGCAGCCAATGGAGGCCGAGGCGCCGTGCGGGGATTGGAGCGGGCGCGGGGCGGGCCGGCGCGGCCGGGCGAGGGGAGGAGGCGAGGCGGGCGCTGTCAGCGCTGTTATAAGGGAGGGAAAAGTTCCCTGCGCCGGGAGCTGGGGAGGCGCACGCTCATACGGCGGCCGCAGCGGCAGGGCGGGGCCGCGGAGGAGCCGGTGGCGGCGGAGGACGCCCCCGGGGCCGCGACTCGCTGCCCTTGGGGTCTCTGGCGGACCTCGCCAAGGTACCGGCGGCCCGAGGGCTTTCGCACGCAGCCATGGGCGGC